ACCATCATTAATTCTTTATTCCTTTCTTTTTCATTTCAGGTAAGAAGAAGGTCGCGCTATTTGACAGCCAGGCCCCAATCTGTCCGATATGCCAGGTGCTACTGCGTCCCGGAGAGTTACAAGAACATATGGAACAGGAGTTGGATAAACTAATGCAGGTCAACATCAGGTAAGAGGAATAAAGACAAAGTTCTCTGAATTTAGTGTTTGGCCAGAGTTCAGCCTTCAGAATTACTATAACCTTATACACTATATGACCAATAGTCTGCGGACCCCGGAGCATCACACCTATGGGACCTTGATGGACATCCCATTCCAAAAACAAAACCATTACAATAGATTTGGTAGCTTCCCTCACCATGGCCATTAATATGGAGTTGTTCCCCCCTCATGGCCATTAAAATGGAGTTGCCCCCCCCTCATGGCCATTAAAATGGAGTTGCCTCCCCCCATGGCCATTAATATGGCGTTGGCCCTCCATCTTGGTGGCATCATCCTCCACCCTTCTGAGAGGGCTTTTCACAAGGTTTTGTAGGGTATCTGTGGGAATTTCTGTGAGATCAGGTACTGACAACAAGGGGTGTACACCTTCCCTCCTGACCTCTCCCCTCTGGGTGATGGACCACCATCACCCAGCTCAGTCGCACAGCTCAGTTGGCTGCGGCAGAGCTTAGAAGGATATAGAAGGAAGTATGGGAATTTCTGTGGCAGTCAGAGGTCACCTGAAGTCTGAGAGTTGATGCCTGTCAACTTCCTGACCTCACACGCTGTCTCCCGGCTCCTGAGTGGAAAGTGTGTAAGGTTGGGTAGCTGAGCGGACAGCAGCTCTTTCTGACACCCACAGTTGATGTATTAGGATCAGACAAAAGTTGCTAAACTAAATAAAGAGAAAATAAAATTATTTCATATGCAAGCTTACACGTTTATAATGATTTCTTGATATGAAACAAAAATGTCATATAATGCAGCTCATTAGTCCTTAGATGTTTTTTATTATCACCTGGTGATCCTGCCAGCAGCACACTTCCTGCCCTAGGGTGACTCACTCTCTGTACTGTATCTATAGAGAAGCCGTGTTGTCACCTGATTGACTCTCCTGATTGTAACTGCAAACACTTAAGCTGCAGTAAATGACATTTCTGTTCCCGTGTTTAGATGCATTATTATTATTATACAGGATTTATAGAGCGCCAAGAGTTTGCGCAGCGCTGTACAATATAAGGAAGACATTACAATCACAATACAAATCAAGACAAGATGGTAAGGAGGACCCTGCCATACATTGTAAAGACTGAATGTTCCGATTCCCATATCAGCCTGGTTGTGACAGGTTCTCTTTAGGGCTCCCGCTATCAGTTGGCTCTTCCTCCAGCTCAATAACCTGAGTAGTCCTCGGAGACTCACTTATAAAGGTTGGAATCGCTATGTTGCCGTATTTCTTTCGAGAGGAAATATTGTTTCTGTAAGTTTTCATAAAGCTGAGCAAAGCCTCCGCTCACCATCACAGACGGCCAAACAAACTGCAGATATCTCCATCACTGATGACGGTCCCGTGATTAGGGCCCTGCAAACTAAAGGTGATCCCATTGTTGTCAGTCTAGGGAAGCTGAAAAAAGGTGCTGGGATTGTTTAAATCAGCTAAATACATTCCAGAAGTATCAGAACTAAAGGTGAGCAAAGTGCTACAGTTCATTTCCTTTAGAAAGCAGCCACAGCCTGAGTATAGAAGCCTGTCCCCTGCCAGCATGCTGCAGAGAAGGAGCCTTGTACTCTCTGTGGGGAAAGCAATGATCTCTTTGCAGAGGTCCGACGCACTTCCTGCTGATTGGCCCTTTTCTAATTGGAGAGCTATAGGCCTGACTTAGCATGGGGCGTGTCAGACCTTAGCAGAGAGACTACTGATTCCACACAGAGAGCAAGGCTCCTTCTCTGCAGCATGCTGGCAGCGGACAGGCTTCTATACTCAGGCTGTGGCTGCTTTCTAAAGGAAATGAACTGTAGCACTTTGCTCACCTTTAGTTCTGATACTTCTGGAATGTATTTAGCTGATTTAAACAATCCCAGCACCTTTTTTCAGCTTCCCTAAGCAGCCCGTACACCTTGCGATCATCGGACGACACATCCTGCCCCGATTATCGCAAGGTTGGATCAGCGGTTATTAAAAGAGAGCACCTGGGCGAATTGCGGTAATCGACCGCACGGATTTTCGTCTGCGCATGTGCAGTGTACGTCGTCGGCGCATACCTGCCTTATTTCCTCCCCGCTGGGCGCTGCTCTGTGTCCCGGCGAGCAGGAGAGAAAGTGACAGCCAGCCGAGCGCTGCGGGAGGAGAGCGCAGTGAGTGGCCGGTGTCTCTCCTCCCACAACGCTCAGCCTCCTATCACAGTCCGGCAGAGCGGTGTGGGGGCGGAGACAGCCCGCGCTGTCACAGGAGGCTGAGCTCTCCTCCCCGCTCCACTCGCTCAACCTCCTGTGACAGAGTGTCAGAGAGGAGAGCGGATACAAGGAGTCGGTGATCGCTGAGTGTTTGTAGATAATTGAGGACAGAGTATGGTTACTATATCCTCAATTATGAATAAATGGGAAGTGATCTACATCACTTCCTGTTCATTCATAGTTGTAGTTAACATACTATATTCTCAAGTTAACAATGAACAGGAACACTCAGTATAGAGGATTCCTGATCATTGATAACAGGGGATAAAGAAATAGAGATTGAGGACTCTGTGTGTCTCGGAGCA